CCTAAGATATATCGAAAATCAAAGGTGTAATTCTCAGAAATCAGTATTTTGGTAAAAAAAAAATTATTACTTTTAGGTTTGCCCTTATGTTTGTCTTACTTTTTCTCACTTTCTATATTGTAATTTTTAGAATACGCTTTGTATTTTAGAATTATGTATGAATTCTTCTTTTTATTCATATACTAGGTGTGAGACCTCGTGTATTACACGGGTTAATTTAAAAAAAAAAGATTAAATATTAAATTAAAATGTAAACACAAAATATTTTTTAATGTACAACTTTAAAATAAGAAAGGAAGAAACGTATTTATTGCAATTTAATATCATATATATGATATTTAATCATCCCTAATAAATCAAAATAATTTTGTCACACGTTGCTTTCTCATTAACTTGGACACATGTCATTTTTTGGTATTTTCGAATAAATGTTTTTTCCATTTGTCATTTTCTCATTTTTTTTAAAATCTTTTCTTATTAACACATCATATTTACACCTCAATTAATAATCGACTTAATTAAAAATAACCAATAAATTACAATATTACTAATCATATAATATCTAATATGTTTTCATTTAAATTTAAATTTTAAATTTTAAATTTCAAATATGAAATTTCAAATTTAAATGAATTTTTGTTTAACCCTTCATATTTTTTTTTGTTTTATCAAATATGTATAAGATACGAGTCTTACAACTAGTACTTTAGATATACAAATATAACTTTAATTTTAAAAATTGAAACAAATCAAAATTGACAAGTGGATAATATTTATTTCAAAAATACCACAAAATGACAAGTATCAAAACTCATAAGAGATTGACATATGGCAAAAACAAACCTTCATTTATTAAGGAGGATTTGAAGGTATCCTCATAAAATTTTCAAGGGTGTCCTGTTACAAAAATTTATATACTCTCTAAAAAAATCAAAGTAAGGGGTGTCCATGGACACCCTTTATATTAAGGTAGTGTCGTCCCTCGTATTATTATGGTGTCCGTAGTGGCACCGACAAGCATGGTTTTTTGTACGCAGTGCTAAAAAATTTGAAATTTTTTTCTAGTATTGTGCATCTATTGAAAATTTACGTGTCATCCCTACTATGAAATCTTGTGTCCGCCCTGGTAGGATCACACATATACCTTTTAAAAAAACATAAAGATGATGAACAAATATTTGCTATGATGTTCTTAAATCGATTAGCAGCAAGGAAATTATGAACAAAAGTTCTCTCACATACAAAAATATACATATAATCCTCTGTTGATTGTCTTTATGTTTGCGAAAGATCTCCACATGTGTGTGACATCATAGTCATCCAAAAACATGTCAATATGTCTTCCAACAATATAGTGGTTACTAACTGTAAGATGTATTCCCTAACAAATCAAATTTAATTTAAAAAAAAAAAAAAAAAAAAAAACCAGAATGGAGAGCCCAAACTTTCAAAACAAAACATCAAAATCTTAAACTAATGTTTTAAAAATCAGTTTTTTAATTTAACCGGTCTGGTGACATGTTCAACCGGTTCGACCACCGATTCAACCAAGATTTTTCCTACATCAAGCGGTGGTGTGTGTCGGCATTCGAGTTGTATACACTCAGAAAATGTTTAATTTGATTTGGAAATTGATTGTTTTTTAACCGGCTAAGGGGATGTTTGACAAGATCCAAATTTTTAAGAGGTCTGAATTTCTAAGAGGGTCTGAAACTTTAAGATCTGAATTTTTAACATGTTGTTTGGTTGAAACATCTGAATTGTTATCTGAATGATAAAAATGTTCATTTTACCCTTGTATTGTTTTGTTTTATGCTAAATGATAACTTATAAAAGTTACTAATAATCATACAATAACCAAATTAAACATAAATTCTTCCAAATTCAATTCTTTCAATCAATGGAAACATAAACATCATACAATATAACCAAATTAAACATAAATTCTTTTTAAATTCATTTCTTTCAATCCATGGAAACATAAACATCGTACAATATAACCAAATTTAACATAAATTCTTCCAAATCCACTTCTTTCAATTTATGGGAGAAAAAAAACAACACCACCAATCTTATATGTATTTTACCCAATTTCTGAACCAAAGACCTACTTCCTGCACACCAAAACTACACATGTGCATTTATGATTTGATTAAAAAGCCTATGCGAAAAAGTATATCCATTGAAGCTCATAGAACTTTTCACAAACAGTTGGTGTGCATAAGAGCTTCAATGAGTGAACTGATGTACCTTCATATTTTCAAATTATACCTATAAAGATAAACTTGCACTAAAGAGTAGAAAACATATAAATCGGCTCTCCTAAGAAGTTGACTGTCTAGTATACAATTGATCAAATGGAAGGCGACACAGGCAAACCGGTGGTAGCAGACGGGACAAAAACTTACCACCATTGTACAGAATTGATGATTGAAAGTTCGTCTTCTTCAGGAACCAACACAAGCACTAGTACATCAGGATCCATAGGAACATCGTAATTTGGGGGGTAAAGAAGCAAGAAATAGAAGAGGAGCAACGAACACATTCTGATTTCGATTTTTGATTTTCAGAAGAAGAGAAACGAACCTGCTTTAGGGCACAATCCGAAAAAACGAGTTGGAGACGGAGCAGGTGCGTCGGCGTCGACGTTGCAGGGGTGCAGCGGCGTCGAAGTTGGGGTGGGCGGCGTCAGTTCAGACGACGTCGTCAGAGATTTGGTGATGAAGTGGAGCAAACGCGAAGGGAAGCAAACGCACGAACGAGAAGACGCACATAAGAGGAGAAGAGGAGGGCAGGAGGCGTGTTTTGATCTATCATGGTTTTGGGCAAAATTGGAAACGTGTTCTTTTTAAAATATTCAGACTATGTTCAATATCTAAAAAATTAAGAGACATTTATAATATTAAAAGACAAAAAATAATATGCAAACAAACAATCTGAATCTGAATTGTTAAGACATTGCCTTTTAATTTTGTAATTAAAAGGTAAACAAACAAGATATAAGTGAAATATAACAATACAATTCCAATAAACTGATTTTTTATCGATTCTGTCTATTAGTTCAACCCGATTTTTAAAAAAACAGTCTGCTCAATCTAATCTGAAAATTGACTTAAAGCAATCAATTGACATAAAAATAGTCTTTATTAAACCGCTTCTCATCGTGTATTCTCAATCCAACCACTTCGAACCCAAGATTTCCTTGAACACAACTTGCAATAGAAAACAGCAAAAGACCTGTTGTTTTGCAGCCATACAAAAAACGGAAAAACCCTTATTCAAATCCTAATTTTTACGCAGCCGTATAAAAACTCCTTATTCAAATCCTCTGTTTGTAAGCTTTTAGCCTTTACTTGTTAGGGTTTTACTCATTGTCTGTAAAGCGCCGCCATGCTCCACCACCTCACCGGGCAATTTCTCCGCAGCTACAACACCACCACAGCCAAAACAACGATCATTACAATTAACATTATTGCTACACCCAATCCAATTCGACGACAATAAAGTATCCAAATTACCATCATTCATCAACGTAAACGCCATTTCTGTTTCCGATTCTGTCCGTTTGTGTTTTGGATTTTTGGAAAGATGTCGGTTTCATTTCAGCAAATTTCTGCGTTTAAGAGCTATAGTTCATGGGCAAAGGACTCTGTATTCCAATTTGTACGCCCCAATTCTACAAATACTAACAATAGGTACGGCTCGAAACCCTTATTCGTTCATTTCTTGCTACCATTACAATCTATACCAACTAAAAGTTCCACAAATTGCTACTCATTCATCGATCCGTTAAAATCGATCAACTAAAGCAAGTAATTACAAGATACACAATCAGCTTATTCATTGATTGGTAAAAAATCGTCAATCAGACTTTCATCTGTAACTATTGTTCTAATATGATCTCTAATTGACAAATTCGAAATTTGGTTATTACTGATAAATTGATTTGTTGAATGTTGTTAAGAAGCGCAAGATGGACAACCCCATCCGCAGCTATAATTCCCAATTTTCACCTTCCAATGCGCAGTTATGAAGTTAAGAACAGGTATCTATCATTCTATCCTTTTGCACCTGTTGTTAAATCCTTGTAGAACATCTTGAATGTTTAGGACATTGATTTTATTGTTATGATGTTATCAGGACATCTACAGATGACATAAGGTCACTTCGGTTGATAACAGCCATTAAAACTCCATACTTACCTGATGGAAGGTTTGATTTGGAGGCTTATGATGCATTGGTCAACATGCAAATAGAAGATGGAGCTGATGGTGTGATTGTTGGTGGAACCACCGGTGAAGGCCAATTAATGAGTTGGGATGAACACATCATGCTTATTGGCCACACCATCAATTGCTTTGGCACATCAATTAAGGTACTTTTTTTTTTGTCTTGTTGCCATCAGTCTTAGTCCAATACATGTCAAATACAGTACAACTGTCTCATCTGAGGGCCTACGCATTAGGTAATTGGAAACACGGGAAGCAATTCAACACGAGAAGCAGTGCACGCGACAGAGCAAGGATTCGCGGTCGGAATGCACGCGGCTCTCCACATCAACCCATACTACGGTAAAACCTCGCTCGAAGGAATGGTGGCCCACTTCCAATCCGTCCTCCCAATGGGACCCACGATCATCTACAACGTCCCATCCCGCACCGGGCAAGACATTCCACCGCCAGTCATCCACACCATCGCCGCCAATGCCAACTTCGCCGGAATCAAAGAGTGCGTGGGACACGACCGAGTGAAAACATACACCGGAACCGGAATCACAGTGTGGAGTGGAAACGACGATGAATGCCATGATTCCAAATGGGATTATGGAGCCACCGGAGTTATATCGGTTACAAGCAATTTGGGTTCCGGGGTTGATGCGGGAATTGCTTTTGAGAGGTAAGAATCCTTTGCTTAATGAGAAGCTTTTACCTTTGATTGAATGGTTGTTTTGTGAGCCGAACCCTATTGGGGTTAACACGGCTTTGGCTCAGTTGGGGGTGGTGAGACCTATCTTTCGGTTGCCATATGTCCCCCTTCCATTGGCTAAAAGGGTGGAGTTTGTCAACATAGTGAATGGGATTGGGAGGGAGAATTTTGTTGGGGAGAAAGATGTTAAGGTTCTTGAGGATGATGATTTTATGTTGGTGGGTCGTTATTAGTTATATAAGTTAATAAAACTTGTTTTTACCTCAAATCAATATTTTGTGTGTTACATTGTGTTATTAGGCGGAGAATAGAACCGAGTTATTGTTATTGTTATTATCTAAATCCAAAGCATCGATTGATGCGTCTTTCTCCCATTCTTTCTTATATGTCATGAACTTCTAATATAATTTGAAGTGAGTTACATTTTTGGTCCCCAATAGTTATATTTTGCAATGTTGGTCCTTGCTTTTTGTATTTGGGGACGTAAAAGGTAATTTTTTCTGTCTTATGAAAATTGCAATCTTTTGACATTTGTTTGAATGAAATTACATTATGATAAAAAATCATGAGTGAATGGTTGGGGGTGGTGCTTGTTGTTTTTGTTTGTGTTTGAAAAAAGTATCAACCCAATCCTTGTCCTCTTTGGTTGCCTTTTCCCATCGTTGTTTGAATACATCCAGCTCTAATGTCGATTGCCTCCTTATCTGCACCCATCCATCCATAATATATAATTAATTTACTTTTCATAAAACAAATTTCACAATATTCATAACTTAACGAAAAAGAATGAATGATATAATTGGCTTACCTCAGTACGCATATCAAAACCATGGTGCTTCTGAAGGATACAAAACAGATGCAAACATATAACTACATAAGCATAAAAACAAAGTTCCATAAATATATTTAAAATAAAGAGTTAGGAAGAATACCTTTGCCAAATTAACATCATTGGACCCCTGCCACAAGAATTTTATCTTTTAAGATTAACCAGTTTTAAATTATTTTAACCAGTAAATTTGAATGATGAATTTATAGAAACCTTTTTAGCAGCAGGCCCGCCTAATGTGGGTATTCCCTGATGCAAAATATATTCACTATCAACAATTCCAACATTTTTCAACCCCTGAAATATGCAAAATCATAAAAATATATACTATTAAAATATCTAATTATAAAACATTTGCCTTTATTTTTAATCAAAACTTACTTGTGCACAATACCCAAGTTTCATATCCATTCCCCATCCATGAACCAGGTCATTCTGAAGATACATTAATTTATTTATTTTTTTCAGAAAAAAAAATATATATGAAACATATTTTTACCTGAATAAGATGCCAAGCACAATGCCATGCAGTTCTGGAAAACACTGGAGCCATTCCTTCAACAAATCTGTAAATTATATTTTCACGACACGCATTTTATGAATTGCTTGTAATTTTGTATGTTCACTTACTACTTACCCAGTACATGGTGGGCCCTCACTATCACTTGTACATTTCACACTACCTTTAGGATCTATAACCCTTCTGTATGTATGTAAACAAATATACATATGGACATTAGCAATAAATAAAAAATAACAAATGAATTGAAGAAATTACCATAGGTTGTGGAAAAGACATGAATGCCCTTCTCAGTTCTATTCATTCACCTGTGGAATATATGTCTTCTTTTCCGTAATGTGATCCTGTGATGTATGTCTGATGATTTTGGATCTAAAGCTGGTTGAGATATCTCCAGTCCTGCTGCTTTAACAATATCCAAGTATCTGCACATATAATATAAATAATTGAAAATTAATACAAAGTATTGTAAAAAAAAGTGACAGATATATATATATAAAGATGTAAAAGGTGCCTTCTGGGGTTAAAATGTTGCACTCCAAGATCTTCATCCCATAGAAATACATAATCATAAACAGAAACAGCAGCTGGATGCAGAAACCTTTTTGCAAACCACCTGAAATTGTAAGAAACATTAAATTAACCTCAAAACATGTCATGTTGTAGAATTGAAGCTTACCATTTTGTTTGGTTCACAGCTACAATATGAACAGCTTTCTTACTCCATTTGAGATCCCACCATCCATCCATATGCCCATCATAATGGAACAAAATAATTGTAAAGTTCTCATGAAGAAACTGAAAACATTAATACTAATTCAATATTGTTTATATCAAAGATTGAGTTGTGAATATGGAGATACTATTTATTTTATACCTTTCGAACAATTGTATTAACATTATGCTTCATTTTCAATCCCACTGGCATTGCCAGCAAGTTATGAGGAATGGAAACATTAGCCTGACACGCGTAACAAAAAAGAAAAAGGTTAAATCAATTAAGAGCAAATAAAATGAGTTTAGAATGTTGTGATAAAATTAATTAATCACAATTACCTTTAATTTAGAACTACTTGATGCCCATATGCGCTTTAATTCCAAGTCAGATTTAGGTTCAATAATGCCATATGGTAGACCCTTTAATCCCGTGAAAGCTAACTAATAAAAAAAAAACAAGGAAGCATATTAGTTTCATGTTATATATGATAATATGAACACTGAACTTTAACAAACAGATAGATATGTATATGTGTATGTATACACATACATAGAGCAATTCCATACCTTTGTCTGTGAAAGCTGAAACTTTGTAGTTCTGTATGCAATATACAACAATATTGTACAAACAAATACCATGAATGTTTTGTTTTTGGATCGACAAAGTCCCTGAATTTATATGATTAGAATCCATTTAATAATCTCAATAATGTAGATGAACAAAATATGTGGAAGGAAAAAAATTACAGACACATAAACTTAAACTTACCCATTCATTTTGTTTTTTCCTTAAAAGATTCCTCCATGATCTAAATTTCCTCATAGACGACTCTTTTTCATGTATCCCTATTCATGCCAAACTGCAGCAATCAAAATTAAAGCAGCTACTAATCTCATATGAAGCTGATAAATGCCATCAACCATATCTTCTTAGTATTATCTTGATATATGTTTAAATAAAAAACAGGAAGATGCAAACTTGCCAAACAAATATAGTGATAATCAATGAAATTGGTATGAGAAAATTGAAGCAGAAGTAGTTGCAATGCTCACGTTGTTTGCCCTATATATCAATAAAAGGTATCCAAGTAATCTCCTGCCAATTTCTCTACTAGCTTCTCTTAAATCTGTTTAAATGTGGAAAAAAATCATTGAACACACACCAAAACAGGCAAACGTAAACTTGCCAAACAAGTGTAGTAGTAACTGATAATCAATGAAATTCGTATGAGAATTTAAAGCAAAATAAGCGACAATGTTCACGTTGTTTATCGTGTAATCAATAGATCTTAATTACGCTACAATTCGACACAAATAAACGATCGCACACTATTAATCATAAACTGAAAGGAAACCGGAAGAAACACCGACCTCTGAGATTTGCAGACGAATCTGTATGTAAAATTTCAGAAGCTGCGTTAAAGCAATCAGCCGAGAAACAACTCACCGGTGATTAGAATGCGAGTTTCCGGCCAGTGACTGTGAATGTTACGCGAAATTAGCTGCGTTTATTACACTTTCAGAGCGATCGAAATCGCCAAGAAATTTATTTGCATGTGTTATTCTCTTTTCCCTTTTTGCATTTGCATTTGTGTTTTTAAGGCTAAAAATGAGTGTTAGTAATATTATTATTATTATTATATCGTACATTTATTAGAATATTGGTTTGGGTATCTAACATTTAGAAGTTGTCGATATATAAAAAGTACACCAGTAAAAAGTCCAATAAATGTGAGATAAACACAAGTCGATTTTTTGTTAGGTTGGTGGGTGTGGCTTCGTCAAGGGATTCTGCATAGACTGCATGCTTGGTGAACACCGGGCCGAGCCTGCTGCCGAGCTCAAGCTCCCTCGGCTCCGCAACTTGGCATATACTTTTGAATTGAAAGTTTCAATATTGGTCTCTGAAAATTCTTTTTTGCTACATCTTTTATCCAAAACTTTAAAAAATATTATATTTACTCTTTTAACTTTGACATTTAGATTTATTCGTTTTCATATAATGTTTAATACCTTCTATTTAAGCTAATTATGTTTATATCCTAAAAGTATAAGTTAATTATTATAATACTCTTTAGTTTTAAAATAACTTTTTAAATTAATTATTTTTAATATAATTAATTTACAAAAAATTAAGAAAAAAAAATGACAAGCGTGACAACCCACACATTCTAAATGACAAATGTGGTAAATATGATGTGGCACGGATGTGGACCATGACAAGTGTGACACTACATCCACCAACCTTAAAAGATTTTTTTGACCGTTGAATACATAATATAGCTTCGTTTACAAAATTTAAAAATGTTACACATTTAGCGAAATAATGATACCTTTAAGTGTATTATCTAAATTTATGTTTAATAATATCACTGTTTATACAAAATTCGAAAATATTTTTATTTAACCATGTTTGTTTTTTCTAAAGACTGCAACCTTATTTTATTTAGAGAAAATGCTAAATTTTACTTGTTATAAAAAAACACATATTTCATAGGGCTACTGTGTAAAATACAAAGTTCAAAAACTGCTTCATATTTAGTTAAGCCAAAAAAGTTCGATGGCATCCCTCATGTGTAAATGCTTTCATTCCTTCCATTTCGTATAGAAGAACTTGAGAATGGCTCAAAAAAAAATGTGCCTAGTAAAGTTTTCTTCTTCCAACATGTCATCAAAAAGTTTCTTTTTTACTGAAAACAAGGAATCATGTTTTTTATAACGAAATAACAAATACACAAACTTTCTCTCTACTCTATGTCTAAACTGCACCTTTCATCCGATGCTAGACTAGAACTCCAAACCTATGTTTGAGAGTACCATTTTCATTAAATAAATGATACATATACCATTAGGCTACAAGTATTTTAATGGTGTTAAAGAATAATTTATGTGTATTAATATATATAGTTTACGGTCCTTTTTGTAATATGTTGGACTACATATATCGTGAGCAATGCACTATAACCTCCGCGGGGATTTCCATATTCCAACATGGTATCAAGCAATTAAGATAGCATATGTTTTTTGTTTTGTTTTGTTTTTTTTTTCCTAACAACCCTAGTGTAACATCCTAAAATCAAGATAAAATTTTCATTTTTCAGTTAAAGTAAAATCATTCTTTCAACCAAAATAAAAGTATCATAAAATCTCAAAACATGACACTGAAGGGTGTATACGATCATGCATTCGTTTTGTTCCGATCATCTAAAGTACTTGAAACATAACACTAAATTGTAAGTTAAAAGCTTAGTGTGTTCCCCCAAAGTATCATACACAACCAAACAGATAACAAAATGCATATATGAGCCTTCAGCATGACTGGACCGCCTCATAGGGCCTACAACCTATCTGGACCGCTCTCCAAGCCTTCGGTCTGACTGGACTGTCTTGCAGGGCCTACAGTTTATCCAAACCGCACTGGGTGTTTTTTCCTTCAACACAAAGCATGTTGCTTGCTTACCCGCTACGTCTATATAAAACTTTCTTCTTTATTTAAAATAAAAAATACATATAAAGTAACATTTAATAGCCAACAAATATAGGTAATTATACATCTCTACCAGTCTATCATATATCCAGTAAACACATGTAATCATACAGATCTACCATTCTAACATATAACCAACATTAGATCATCCAATATACTAGGATACATAATCCAGTGGTCCAGCATTGGTGCCTTCGACCCACAAGTATAGTGAGGAAAACTCACCTGACTGTCTGAATATAGTTGAACAGATCACTACTCTAAAAGTTGTCTTTACTGGTCACCCATAAAATAAATAGTGATCTTAACTCAAACTACTACTCAAATTACCCAAAATGCCCCTAGGTCAAACCACTAGTTAAAGGTTAAAAGTCAAAAAGTCAAAGGGGGTCAACACAAACTGAGTACACCTTGCGTACTCAGTTACTATGCTCAGCGTAGTAGATCCTTTCCTGGTTACGGGGCTGCAGCTAGATACACCGAACGTACTTGACTAGTTCCATTTTCCTCTTAACATCTCACATCCAAAGCTCATATCTAGTCCCAAATACCATCCTAAGTCATAAAGTTTCCAACTTTATGACATTCCATGGCTAGAAGGAGTCCAAAAACCAAAACGCTAACTTAATACACAAACCAAAGCATCATAACTATTTCATGGAGGGAAGAAAGGGACCGATATCATATTTTATGGTTCCTAGCACTCACAAACACCTGAAAGGGCAACTCTTATGGTTTAGAGTAAGCCATACTCATAAATACCAAGACTATGGGACCAAAATGCTTTAAAAAATTAAGATCTAGCAAGATCTAAGGAAACATTCATCAAGCTCATAACTTTATACCTTCTGGAGGTTACTTGCAAAGAGAACAACTCATATCTACAAGGCTTGAAGCTTTCTAAAAGCACTCCAAAAACCTTCTCGCTTCAAGGATGGACACCAAACACACAAATGGCGTAAAAACTCACAAATGAACACTAGGGTTTTCAATGGATCGATTTGGGAGGATGGAGGCTAGAGATGGAAAGGGTTTTGAAGGTTAAGGTTGCTTAAATAGTTCTCAAACCCTAAAAATTAGGGTTTGGTCACCTACTAAGTATGCCCAACGTACTCATGAGTACGCCCAACATACTCACATACACCCGTGACCCTTTTTAATGAGCTACCTCATGCGTACGCCCCAACATACCTAATGTTTGGGTGCTACACCTAGTCGTATCTCCGCCTCCACCGATAGAAGCCATCAACAACGACTTCTAGCTCGTCGATGCTATCATCACCAATCACAACTTCTGCCATCACAACCTCGATTCTTGTGTTGCTACTCGACTATTTCTATTGCCATCACAGTTTATTTACTGAGTAATGGCATCTAGTGCTACAATCCTTATACCCGCGATGAGCTCTTTTGATTATATTATGATTTTTTTTCTTAGTTTTTTTTTTTATTTTCTCCATGATGTCTACACTAGCCATTGATACCACAACCATGCCTTCATATCACATTAATTGGTTTAGGCTTTAACCAATGTGTAGTTTTAGTTTAATTTCAAACTTGCTATTTCTAAGTACAAACCATGGCGAAGCATTTTTCTTAACATGTGCAACAGTAAAACGTTACTAGGTCATATTGTTTTGGCAAGTCAAATCCCCATGATGATGATAAGTATTGTGAGCCTATCTACTCTAGAGTGAAATCTTGGTTCCATTCTGCTTGTGATCCAAACTTGGTACAAATGATTTCAAGTGATAATTATATTGCCAAAGACTCATAGGAAAAATCAACAATAAAATGTATCGCACGCCCCAACTTCAATATCAGTTTTGCAACACTAATAAAAGAGCATTATCAACAATTAAATGTTAGGATGACAACAAAACAAGTTAAAACTCCAGAAAAATGTCAAACAAACTTCAGTGAAACTTGCAGAATAAAACTTCTGAAAACTTAAATAAAAAACGAACACAATATTTAATGTGGTTTAGTCAAGGTGACCTACATGAACCTTAGTGGTGCATTATGTTCCGTGATGGTGCATCATCACTTCTTGATCATCAACAACTCCTCAATACTTTCAGAACACATCAATGCATACAAGGGAGGCGTACCTAGCACTAAAGTGGCGCACATAAATCATAGGTGGCACACCTTATGTAATAATGGTGCATCGTGATGCATGACCAAGGTTCTAAATGGCGTAAGGCGTGATGTGGTGGCAAGGCCAAGCCTCAAGCTTAACGAGTCATGACGAGTAATGACGTTTTTCAAGGCGTGATGTAAGGCGGGAATTTTGTATTAATTTAAAATTATATTACCACATAAATATAAATTTA